AGATAGATAGATAGATAGATAGATAGATAGATAGATAGATAGATAGACAGACAGACAGACAGGTAGGTAGGTAGGTAGGTAGATAGGTAGGTAGGTAGGTAGGTAGGTATAGGCAGGCAGCATGGTGTGGTACAAAGAGAACCACCCTAAGGACAGCTAGATGGTGCAGTGGATAGAGCACCAGCCCTGGATTCAGGAGGACCTGAGTTCAAATCTGACCTCAAACACATAACATTTACCAGCTGTGTGACCCTGGGCAAATCACTTAACCCCATTGCCTAGCCAAAAAAAAAAACAACAACAACAAGGAGAGCCTCCCTGAGACTCAGGTATAGGCTAGGTTCAAGTTCTGCCTCTGACACATACTGACTTGTGTCATCCTGGGCAAATCATTTCCTCTCTCAGTGCCCCAGGCAACTTATGACTTGAAGTTTTGGAGCAGACACCGATTAGCATTGATACAGGGGATTTCCTCCAGGGAATGTCCATGTACCAATGAAATCATGGGTTAAATAAAATAAATAAATAAAACTCTGAGATTCACAAGTAAAAGGGAATCTCTGATGATGTTTCATCATCATCAACTACAGTTAAACATCAGTTAGGACCTTGATACACCCTGAGGTTAAAAGTCTAAGACTAGGGCCCTGCCCTCCCAGAGCTCAAGGTAAGACAGCCAGTACTAAGGACAGGTGATGACCTCCTTCCAAGGGGGGAGGGCAAACCAGGACCAGAGAAAGTCAAGGAGAGTTTCAGTGGCTCTGAGTCTGAAAGGATAGAGAAAGGGGACTTAGATACACAAATAGGGATGAGGAAGGTGTTCCAGGCAGAGAGAAAAATATGAGCAGAGACATGGAGATCTCCCTGTGCTCACTGTGTTGTGATCTATCTGGAACTAATAGCTCATCTTTCTGTAGCAACTTAAGGTTATGTAGTATTTTGATCACACTTACCCCGAGAGTCAGCATGAATGGCATTAACCTCATTTTTAAATTAGGAAACTGAGGCACAGATAGGTAATATAACTTGTTCAAGGTCACGCAACTAGTTAATGTTGAAGCCTAGACTCAAACCCAAGTCCCCTGACTCAGACCTTACCACTTTGCTGCCACACCATACGGTCTTATTAAATACCAGGGATGTGAGGCAGCAAGGTGGCACAACACAGAGTAAGGAAGAACTCAAATTCGGCCTCAGACACTTACAAGCTGTGTGACCCCAGACAAGTCACTTAACCTCTAATTGCCTAAAAAAAAAAAAAAGAAATGCCAAAGATGTGGGTGCCAGGAATCCTTAAGCTGTAGGGAACCTTAAGCAGATATCAGGGACTGAGCATGATGATGCAAGCTTGGGATCCCTGCTACTGGGGGAAGCTGAGGCTAGGGGATCCTTCGAGTTTGGGAGTTCTGAGCTAAAGTAAGGCTAAAGCAAGGGTCCACACTAAGTTCAGCAAGCACCCTGGAACAGGTTGCCTAAGAAGAGATGAACCAGCCCAAAGCAGAAAAATGGCAAATTAAAGTTTCTATACTGACCTCAGGCTGATACATTTCCAACCAAAGTGACTTAGGGAGACTTAGTCATATATATGTGTATGTGGGTATATGTATACGTGTGTGTGTGTATATATATATAGTGTGTGTGTGTCTGTGTGTGTATTGTGTATGTGTATTCGTGTGTGTTTTATATTTATATGCGTATATGCTTATATCTATATGTGCATGTGTATATATACATGCATATATATACATACACATATACATACATATATACACCTATATATATTATATGTATGTTTGTATATGCTTAAATGGATGTGTGTATATTGTGTTGTGTAAGTGTGTATATATGCATGTGTGTATATGTGCATGTACATATATATACTTGTATGTGTTTGTGTATTATACATGTATGTATGTCATGTGTACGTAGTATGTCACAGCTAAGTCACAGGCAGCTATAAAGCAGAGTCACCCAGGACTACAAAGTGAGCTTAGCCCAGCAAATCTCTGGGTACAATTATAGCAAAAGATTGTTAGGAAAATCAATAATCTCAGGGCGGGCATGTATAGACCATGCAAGAAGCAGGCTGTCAGTGAGCAAGTCAGAATGGGTATGAAAAGACTCAGGAAAAAGGAATGAGAACACAGAAGGGTACATGGAAATGTTGCATAGGTGGCCCAGTGGATCGAGTACTGGAATCAGGCCTGCAATCAGGAAGACTCATCTTCCTGAGTTCAAATGTGGCCTCAGACACTTACTAGCCGTGTTATCCTGGGCAAGTCACTTAACCCTGTTTGCCTCAGTTTCCTCTTCTGTAAAATGAGCTGGAGAAGGAAATGGCAAACCATTCCAGTATCTTTGCTAAGAAAACCCCAAAAGGGGTCACAAAGAGTTGAATATGACCAAACAACAACAAAGCATGGTGTAGTGGAAAAAGCATTGGACCTGATATGAGAACATTTAGGTTCCAATCCCTGCTCTGACATTTAGTGGCTGTATAACCATAGGTGTGTCAATCTAACTCTCTGAGCCTCTGTTTTCTCATCTGTAAAAGGGGAAAATAATATTTGTACTATGTTCCTCAGAGGTGCATATGTGTGAGTCGTTATTAATAAGGAAACATAAAATCATAGGACACAGCATAGCTAGAAGGGACCTTAGAGGCAGGGATGTAGCTCAGTTGAGCTAATTGTTAAATTTTCAGTGTAAGCATTTATACCTAGAAAATCAGCCAAAGCCAGATATCAGGGCTTGATTTATTGCTCTGTTGATTATTGAGATTTATAAGTGAAGGAGAAAATATTCATAATGCAAAATAAATAATGTGTCCTATGTATATTTTTTCTTCAAATAGCATATTTACCAGCACACTCTGCTTAAAGATCATCTATTCCAACTTTTTCATTTTACAGATGAGGAAACTGAGGCCCAGAAGTTGTGACTTGCCCAACACATACAGTTGTGAGAAAATGGTCTAGGACTTGTACGTAAAGGCTTAAGCAGAGCACTGCTAAATGCATCTAAGATGCACATTAAGAGCATCTACTCTTAGGGACAGGTAACAATACACCACCCAGATGAGGAACAGGTCCATACCCATGGTACAACAGACTTAGAATCACTGATCCCAGATGAGAGGCCTGCTGTCTAAACTCCCTGATTTTAGCAATCCCAGTGGATGGCAGCAGACAAGGGTGAGCAGGTGTGAGCCAGGAGCCAGAGCCAGGCAGCATCCCAGGTGGTCACAGCAATAGGTGAAGGCAAGGCTAGCCTCCCCTTTCAGCGGATCTGACTTCTTTTTCCCCCTCTCTGCAGCATACAGCGCCGGCTGTCCTTACAACTCCCCATTCTCCACCATGCCTATTTACCATCAATAGGAGGCGTGGATGCCAGCTGTGCCAGCCCCTGTGTGAGCCCCACTGCCAGTCCTCGGCACAGACATGTGCAGCCACCTTTCCGAGTCATGGTTTCGGGCCTGTAAGTGTGGAAAATCAGTGCTTCCTAAACTGTGGATTAATGACTCAAGGACCAGATGACACATGGAACATAGACATCTGCTCAAAGGAGACTATTGGCTCTTACCCCGGAGAAGCTGAATGCTGAGGTTGCCCTCATGCATAACTCAGGTGGAGGGGAGAGTAAGTTGCCTTGAGTCTGCCCTGTAGCCTTAGGCATGGAATTTTTATTTCTTCACAACGAAGATCAATGGAAATTATCTCTTCCCAAATTTCCACCAACAAGGAGCTGGGAAATTTGAATCTTGCAAAAAAAAATTTTAAAAAAAAAACAAAAATGAAATATATCTGCTAGAATAGGGACAATAGAAAAACTCCTTTAAAGTCACTGAGCATTTCAAGGCTGCTAAACAGGTGGAAGCGTCTACCCAACCCCATGATAAGGAAAAGAAGATGAAAAATCTACCCGGTATTTATTGAACCACAGACACTGCCTTTGACGAGAGCAGTATCAAACTGTTGAAACTATTCTGCTTCTGGTCAGTTGAGGCTGGTTTCAGTTGACAGAGGAATCCCAGGCTCTGGAGGAAACAGTCTCTTAAGATTCACCGTTGTTCATTGTTCAGGGTACCTTGTCACTGAAACTTGATCTTCCAGGGAGAAGCAGAGATGCCCTCAGCCCTGAGTGGCCAATCCATCACCAGCTCCCCTTTCAGCTTAGGCTCTTTGCTGGTTGGACCTCAGAGGTGGGACATGTAACAATGGCCAGGTCCCATTGCTACCTATTTGGAACTTCATTTTTGACAAAGGGCCTGCATCTATTCATGGGAAAAAAAAGTTTAAAAAAATTAAGCAAAAACCCACCTGGGTATACAGAAGTAGCCAAAGGGTACTGAGGGCTCATCAGTCAAAAAGCTGGGGGACCTTGGGTGATAAAGACAATGCCACTTGATGACACATTTGTTACTGTTTGATAGATGCCACATCTTAGCACAATAACACCTAATTTCACATCTGGGGATCTGGGGCACACAAGCACCTTGCAGGTAAATTCTGCTACTTTCACCGAGAGTCTGTCATTCACTGCATTGGCCGTGCACTTATGTTCCTATCAGTATAACCTGGTAACCCTGGGCTAGAGGCCAAGCTTACCCTTACAATGTCTGTTCTGATCAGAAAAATAAAAACAGAAGGAAGAAAGGAAAGAAGGAAGGAAGGAAAGGAGGAAGGGAGAGAGGGAGGAAGAGAGAAGGGGAGAAAGAAGAGAGTGATAGAGAGAGATAAAGAAAGAGAGAAAGGAAGAAAGAAAGAAGGAAGGAAGGGAAGGGAAAGAAAGAGAAAGAAAGGAAGGAAAGAAGGAAGAAAGAAAGAAAAAAGAAAGAAAAGAAAGAAAGAAGGGAAGAAAGAGAAGGAAAGGAAGGAAGGAAGGAAAGAAGGAAGGAAGGAAGGAAGGAAGGAAGGAAGGAAGGAAGGAAGGAAGGAAGGAAGGAAGGAAGGAAGGAAGGAAGAAAAACTGAGCACTTTAACCTCTCTCAAAGCACAGGGTCCAAGGGCGGGCTTGAATTTTTTTTCTCACTGACTTTTTAACCTGACCAAAGTGAATTGGAGGCATTCAGCTAAAAAGTGCCACTCTAATTACGCAGCAGTAAGAGGGGAGAGCCCAAGTAGGAAAGGATTTCTCTGCCCTCCCCAGCTTTCAGGGGACTCACTCCCACCCTGGTACAACTAAAGGATGCCAATATCCAGCATCCCTGGAGTGGTCAAGAGCTGATTTTTCATATGCAAAAGCAAATTCGGTTCCATTGCAGTTCCCCCACAAGGCCCTAATTATTTTCATTCTTTCTAACATCGGGACTATTGTACAACAGAAGCAAACCAAGGATTAGCCAGTGCCAGTCCCTGGCAATCCTCCAAAGCCAATCTAACATTCCTTAGACAGGTGACTTCTTTGCTAGAGAAGTCACCGAGCAGTGACTTACACGGTATGTGCACCATACACTGGTTTGCTCTCTAATGAAGGAATTTGACTGGCAGCTTCAGCGGGCAGGCAATAATCCCTCCCCCTTTGTCCCCAAAGTCAGGAATACTGCTGTAAAAGCAACTTTTCCAAAAGACGCCATCTGAATATCACAGCCATAAGCAACAGAAGACAAACATAATTCACTTAGAGAGAGGTGCCAGAGGTCCCGTAGCTTTTAGAAGAGAAAAAAACCAACAAACCAACTGTGTAAAATACATCACAGGTTAGAGTGGAGACCATTACTCTGTTTTCAGCACTCAAAACTGATGTCATCACTCACTGTGTGTTTCCAGTATTGAATTGCTTTCTTGATCCCACCAAGACCAGATTTAATTTAAAGGACCATGTTAATTTTTTCAAAGGGAACAGGACAATTGTACATAATGTATACACACACACAAAAAAAAAATCTCTGTAGACATATTATTCCAGCATAGCAGGACAAAACCAATCCAAAGTGTTGGACTGTCGGAGATGAGTGTGTCTGTCTGTACTTCTTTGTGAATACTGACTGTGTGCAGCCTATTAGGTTTAAACCATGCAGTACATTCTCTGTCCTAACGATAGTAGTTCCTCCCATTTAAAAAAAAATCCTGCAAATAACAAGACCCACAGAAGTGACTCTAGCTATCTAATTGTTCTGTTCTTTTATACAGCAGCAAAAACAAAACTGTCCATTTATCACGCAGCTGTGCTCCAATGGCATTTCCCAATGATGTTAGTGCACAAATGCTTTCAGTTAGAATGGAACTGCCAGGATCCGATGTAAATGAAGAATTTCTTGTATCCTTACTGCATGAGGTCGATTTTTAATAAATTGTTGCAAAATTTGTTTTTACGAATAAAATATCAAAATCAGACTCTCTTTCTTAGTGTCTGGCTCTCCTCCCTTTCCTCTCCGCACTCACACAGACTTATTAGATAATAGTGAGGTCTAATGTAAGGAACCCAGGCCAAAGAATCAGAAGGCCTAGGCTAGAGTCCCTGCATTGTCATTTTCTAGTTGTCTGATAATGGGCATATCACTTAGTAATAATAATTGTTGTTGCTCAGTCCTGTCTGATTCTTCCTGACCTCATTTGGGGTTTTCTTGCAAAGATACTAGAATGGTTTGCCATTTCATTCTCCAGATAATTTTTACAGATGAGGAAAATGAGGCAAACAGGCTTAAGTGACTTGCCCCGGGTCACACAGCTAGTAAGCGTCTGAGCCCAGATTTGAACTCAGGAAAATGAATCTTCCCGACTCTAAGCCCAGCATTCTATCCACTAAGCCACCTAGCTGTTCCCATAAGCACACTATTAGTGTCCTCACTTGTGTCCTATTTTGGGTCCTGACTTGTGATTTCATTAGCATAAGGAATTCCCAATGAGGAAATTCTCCCAACTACTAAAGATTGGCAACTGTTGTGCAACTTTGAGAGTAGGGATTCTTTCATTGTGTCCCCAGTACCAAGGACAGTGCCTGGAGAGTTGAGGATTAAATATATATTGAGAAAGTTTCAGCGTTTACATTTTAAACATACAAATTCAATTTGAAATGAATTGGCTGATTCTGATCAGGTATAAGCCCACAGCTATAGTCCTCAATAAATGTTTTTTCACCCCAAAGGAAAGAAACACTCAAAGTATGAAGATCCACTGAAACCTCAATACCATGCATGGATGGCACTGATGCCCTCTGCAAAGAAGTTACAACTCTGTTGCTAGATTCCAAATTCAGCATGGTAATTCCCACATGAATCAGTATCAATTGCATGGAATGCGTCTCAAGAAGCTACTTTTCTATTATTTGGGTTAAATCAAATACTTACTGTTCCACTATTGTATTCAATATGATAATAGGTCACATTTATATAGCTCTTTTTTGTGTATGAGGGCATTTTCCTCACAACAGCTCTATGAGAGAAGGAGGGCTGTATCATAATCATTATCTATGAGATAAGCATGGAGTATCATTACCCCCATTTAACAGTAGAGGAAACCAAGGCCCAGAGGGGTTAAGTGACTTGCTTGTGGTCACATAACTCACTAGTGTTAGAATCAGAACTCAAATCGAGGTCCTCTTAGGGTTCTTCAAATCTTGTGTTCTTTCCACTAAGGGATGGCCACTAGGTGGTCCAGTGGCTGGTTAGAGCATGGGGTCTGGAGTTCAAATTTGGCCTCAGATATTTACGAAGCTGTGTGACTCTGAGCAAGTCACTTAACCTCTTTTTGCCTCAGTTTTCTCATCTGTCAAATGGGGATAATAAAAGCACCTACCTCCCAGAGTTGTGAGGATCAAATGAGATAATGATAGTTAAGTGCTTAGCACAGTGCCTGGCACATAGTAGATGTATATAAATGCTGGCTATCATCATTATTATTATTCACTACACCATTCAGGCAATGAAACCAAAAATCAATCAATCAGATAAATAATGCCAATGGCCTACATGTATGTGGCACTTTATAGCTTTCAAATTAGTTTCATATGCATTATTCCATTTGATCCTCATAACAACCTTGTAAAGTGGGCAAGGCCAGTATTATCCCCATTTTTTTTATTTTATTTTTTTCTTTTTTTATTAATTTTTTTGATTTATCAATAATCACTTCCATATGCTTTCGAGTTAAAAATATCCCCATTTTACAGATGAGAAAGTTGATGTTTGTGGAGGCAGGACGTGGTTTGCCTAAGGTCACACAGCAGGCACCAGACTCCAATCTTTGTTTTTATACTTCTAATTCGGTGCTCTTTTCATTAAAGCATTGGCTGGAAATACCTCATAGGCATAGCTTAAGTGCCATTTGGTTTTCTATACACTCATATATCAACTTACTTTACAAATGGAGGACCCTGGGCCTATAGTCTCATCTCACATCTCTGGTCTCTCTAGATAGCTGAGAATATGTGGAGTGGGAAGAGGAGAATGAAGGACCAACTCTTCCAGTAATACTCCAACCCAAAGCAGTCAAACAAAATCATCTTCAGTCCTGAGGACCCATCCATTCAAAATGAGGCTGC